TCGTAATACACTGAAAACATTAAAGTTCTCGTTACTTCATTTTATCTTTTGTCTTCTTAATTTCGTATTTGTTGAGATCGCATCAATAAACTTTTATGTGTTATACACTGCAAAAATTCAACATAAAAAACACTTTTAACAAAAACTTTCTTATAAACCCTTAAAGCCTTGTTTTCGACTTGACTAATGAATGATGTTTTGTAAGACTGCAAATAAATTATTGATCTGTTGAAACTGAAATTCACATGCTGCTAACAATTAAAATATAGTTCAGTGAATTTGGGTAAGAACACGCTTTGCTGTAAATTCTGGGAGAAAACATGTCGGATTAAAAATTGGTATTCTTCGTCACTTCACCGCAGTACTGCATGACGTTAGACCATCTCTTCTGAGTTCTCTTTCCGGCTTCGCAAATACAAATAAAAGTTTATCAAAAAATGAAATTTGATACCGAAAAACAGCCATATACATAAAATACAAAAAATGAAAATTCATCTATCAATAGTAAAATTCAGCATTTTCCCAAACACTAAGCCTCTACAGGTATTACACAGTCTGCAGAAGTCTTGTGCTGGATACCATGATACTGTGTTTGATATACGTGTACATACTTATGTTGCAAAGAAAAGCATGTATGGTATAGTATAAATAGCATACAGTATGTACCTAACAGGTTGAAGTGAAAAAAAAACAACAGATTGCAGATTGCACCATTCAAAAAAAAAAAATAGTTCTGTTATTCACTTCCTTTTGGAACCGGAATGGTTCAATATAAGCTGAATAAGAACTCATGAAAAAACTACGCCTAAAATACAATAAAGAGAATTTGTCAGGTAAGCAAAAAAAACTGCATAAAAATTTTGCAGGAATATTGAATAGGAATCATGCACAAATAGCAGTAATATATACCTGGTATTTGGACCAACAATAAAGTCTAATACAAAGACAGCTGTTTAAAACGGTTAACTCTGAAACCAAAAACCTGCATATTTACCAGTTGTCTTAATTGAAATAAAAAAATTTTTTTTTTCTTTTTTTTCGTTAATCTTCAACGCAAATATGCATCTGCAAATGCTGCTTAATTGATACAGTACCATCGAAAATGCCTATTTTTAAATATATGATCACATCCAATCAAACGCCTGTCATCAGCACCTTCCAGAAAATAGTCAGTCGGTTAAGCACTTAAACTAAACGCAATTGTCACTTCAAGAATTAAGACAATTTAGCAGTTTCAAGTTTATTATTAAAAGAAGAAAACTTTTTCCTTCCTGCAAAGCAAAAAACCTTGCTCAAAAAATTTATCAAAATTTCAGTCATTTGTTGACCAAATTAACATTTTAAGCGTTAAATCCACTAAATTCTTCCGGATAATGCAAAGGATAGTTACTTTATTAAACCGGTCAACAAACAAGCAGTGAAAAGTCCAGTGGACGCAGCAGCGCTGAACTATGATACCTTGACTTTAGATCACAGTGATGAAGACAAAATGATCAAAAAGAAAAACAGATGCCGTAAGGAAGACCGAAATTTTGCTAAAATTCTAGTTTAAGAAAATAGCTAAATGGGACTCTCAAGCTACAACGCTGAGCTGCTCCTGACCGGTTACCTTCGCTGGTGATAAAATAAACTTACTGCCTTGTCAAAAATCAAGCTTAAGCTGTTCTGTCTTGAAGAGAAGAGAAGCATAATAGCGCTATAAATCAGAAAAATTCTTCAAAAAGTCTACCACAATCCCTCTAAAAGATTTAAAAGGTGAAGTGCAAAGATAAAACTTGAATACAGAAAACTGAAGGTCAGTAAAAATTACATTAAAGCAATTAGAAATTATAGTATTCAGAAACCTTTAAAAACGGGAGTACCATCTAACCCTTTTTAGCCAAAATTTATGCAGTTGCGTTTAAAATTTTAGTGTATGCTGTTAAAAGCTGCGAAAGATTTTGCCGAATTTTTTCCCCAACGGCTCCCCTCTAATGCTATTACAGCCACAACTGTAGTCTTACCGTAAACTGTGCGAAAAGAAAGAGGAAAGAACGTATTGACGAACAAACCCTTTACCACTACTCCTACATTTACGCACTTTATCACGACAACTTCCTTTTTATAATTCTAATCTTCAAACTTCGCTATTGGTTGAAGCAGCGTCGCATTTTCAGCTTGTCAAGATACAGATATATTCATGTTGTGCAGAAACCCAAGTAGTTTTACTCTAATTATTGGTCAAGAAACTCCTTTTCTTAATTTAGAGGAATCACTTCCAAAATTACTATGACCATAAGAACCGGTTCTCCCTTCATATGAAAAACATCCGCAATTTAGCGTAAACCCCTAAAAATTTTGAAAAACACTATCCCTATCAACACCAGCCATGATAAAATCGCTGAGAAAAATCACCTCCACATACTTGTTATCAGTACCTAGCAAATTCAGAAGTTCACAAACAACAAAGGCCTCAAAAATGCCTTCACTTCAGCGAAGTGGAATAAATAGATGATGTTATTTTCTGAAAGTTGGAACAGCATAAAACAACACCTAAACCGTTTTTCAAAAAAAGTCCTGGAAAATACCCTAGTCCCAACATCAAAGTAAAGAAAAAACTATAAGCACACTAATAGGCAGATATTTTTCTTCACCATTTGAAATAAAAAACTAATAAATAAAAATTATGAGGTTAGTTACATTACTGTACCAAACTAGTAACACTTAACTACTGATCCTGAAGCACTAGCGCACACAACTATCATTAACAATCACTCCTCAGTATCAAAACTCAATACTTAGTAATTTGAAAGAAATAAGAAAAACAAATATTTATTACGAATAATCAATCGAAAAAGTATAAATAAATACTCGTCAAATACAAAACATATTTCGTTCACTGATCATTTAACAACATAATCCTTGACTTTTACAAAAAACTGGAACGAGGAAAATTACTCGGTGAGGAATTAAGAGACGAGACCCGCTAATACAAGCAGTGTATTGTAACTAATCAAATTAACGTAGACATACAAAAAGCACTAGTTGCTAACTACAGCTTAAAAAAGCAATAAATAACATTTCTATCTTATCTTCTGAACTTCTGCCTAAATCTGCTATAAAAAACGTAGGATCTGTCCACAACGGCCGAAAATACCTTGTAGACATGAATCAAATATCGGAATATAGCAGCCATCAAATAGTAACCCTGTTCAGCCAATCTAATACTCACTTTCGCTAGATCTTTTGTAACCAAGTATGTTAAAATCTGTAAAGAAAACATTAAGTCCTTCATTATCTGTGGCAAAAACCATTCAACAGAAAGTAATATTCTGAAAAAACTTAAAAGATTTGAAGAAATATCTAAGAATGAAAATTTTATAGTTAATCAAAATATTATATTACGCACATACCGCGAAACGTGTTAGGGCAGAATGTTTCACAATTTGAGAAAACTGTGACGGGTACGCTGCCAGTGACTCAACCCACGTATCACGTTGCCATATACCTACCCCACGACGATCAGCAATCTGAATTTTTAATATTTAGCACTAATAGGATTTGCTGGGTCTTTCCAATATACTAATTTTATAAGCTAAACTTTCTCTGATACCTTAGTAACAAAAGACCAAATAAGTTGTGGACGAACCTTTTCAGACATCAGCAACTTAGAAACTAAGCGCGAATATGGTGGAACTTCTTCCAATGCCTTCTTGTGATCAAGTCTATCTGGACCCAAAACTTTTGCATAACCGCGACGTACAAGATCCACATTCACGTTAGTGTGTATAAAGAAAGTCTGAATACGTCGTTATTAAATACTTTTAGTGTTTTCTTTTCCATGGGAGCAGACAAAAATAGATGCTTTTTTAACATCCAGCTAACCAAGTGCAATTAACATCAGCGCCAATAAAACTGCTTTTTCTCCAGAAGTTTTCAGTGCCTTAAAAACATTAATTTTTCGAAACTTTTCCAGTGTCTATTCGAAAGACAATTAATCTAATCCTAAATTCTCAAAAACTTCTTCAAAAAAAAAAAAAAAA